CGCAAGCTCACAGCACGGCAAACTTCCTACCCTTTGTCCCTTTCCCTTCATTTCTGGCCCTAGTTTCAGGAAGGTACATGACAATGGTCTCTGAAGACAGATTATTTTGATGTAAATCCCAGCCCTGCTACTTAATATATATGTAGACTAACAACTCTCTCTGTATCTGTTATCCCTTCTGTGAAATGGGAATAAAAATATTTCATTCATAGGGTTTGGGGGAGGGTGAAATGAATTAATAGATCGAAAGTGCTCATATAATATTGGTAAGCCTCCTACCATTCCCTAACTCCCACTGAGAAAGGCAAAGGGAACAGTGTATCTCCGAAAGGGCTACACACTAACGTCACCTGTACTGCTGCCCATTCGTTGGGCACGCTGATACTGCTCATAGACACAACCATAATTATTTAACTTCCCGTGCAGAAAAGCCATTTCCATAAATCTTCAAAAGAAATAGTCACAGATTTTTATCTGAAATTAACAATAAAGTAATATATAGATAAAACCACTCAACTGAAACAGTAAATATTTCATGTATGCAAAAGTATTGTTACTTTCTGAAGCTTAGTGGTAATTCAGCATGAATTAAAGGCATCAAGTAAGTGTTTCTGCTTAAATTTTAAGTGCCATAATCACTGACATATGTAAAGATTTTTAAAGCACTCTTTTGTTAATATAATCTAATGTCTCATTCCAGGAAACAATTCACTGGCTGTTCTTAAAGCCTTGTCCAAGCAAATTAATTTCTCATGAATTGTCTTTCCTAGCCCTTCCAGCTTCTTTAGTTATAAGACTAGCTATGACTCCTGCAACAGAGGTTGTGGGACTGTAATTTTTCCTCCTGGGTTCAGTAAGAATCTAGTTTCCAGCCTCTTTCCATCACTATGAATTGTAGCCAATCAAATGTAGGCAGAAGGCTTGGTTGAGCCAGTGAGGAGATTGGGAATAGCTTATTAGCAGAAGCAAAACTTAGCTGGCATCCTAATGGGCAGTAGGAAATGAAGATACTGGACCATAACTTTACTCTGAGAACTACTACTCTGTATCCAACTGAGGCGGGGGGCAGGAATTCATCCTTCAAACTCCAGTGAAACCTACAAGCATACTTATATCAGAGCACAAAAATACATTATTGAAATCACCTATATACATTACTGTGTGTAGCACAGTAACTCCTACTGGGCTGGTGGCCAGTGTAATTATGTTTTCCTCTCCAGGAGAGAAAGAGACTATTCACTTTTTTAAATCCTTCATTTCTTATTGTAATATAAATACACTATGTAAGTTTTGTACACATCTGTTGAGTTTACTCCCCTACATAATTTAAGTATTCATCACTGACTGATAATGCATGATCAGGCTAAATAAATAAAAATATATATCTCACTCTCATCTCTGGTACTTTTCAAAACGTTCAAACAAAAGAGTGAAATAGCAAGAGAATGTTCAAAGTTTGGTGCACACGTTACGGGATTTTAGTTTCAATATAAAAAACTGTGCTGAGGAGCAGCTGGTAAAAATTTTTTCCCACCTTGTAGGCTGTCTCTTAGTTCTGTTGATGGTTTCTCTTGCAGTGCAGAAGCTTTTTAATAAGATGAGATCCCAGTTGTTGATTCTTTCTGCTAGTTTCCATGCTACTGAGGATTTGTTCATAAAATCTTTTCCTATGCCAATGTATTCAAGAGTTCTGCCTAACTTATCTTCCAGCAAGTTTAGTTTCTGTTTTAATATTTAGATCTTTAATCCACTTGGATTTTAATTTAGAGCATGGTAAAAGATAAGGGTCCAGTTTTAATCTGTGGCAGGTTGAAATTCAGTTTTTCCAACACCATTCATTAAAGAGTGTATCTTTTCTCCACTGAGGATATTTGACATCCTTTGTCAACGATGACGTAGCTGAGTACATTTGAATTTGTTTTTGTGTCTTCCAAGCTGTTCCACTGATCCTCAGATCTGTTTCTTTGCCAGTATCATGCTGTTTTTATCACAGTGGCTTTGTAGTATAGTTTCATATTAGGAATTGTTATACCCGCTACCATGTCTCTGTTGCCTAGGGTGGCTTTTGCTATTCTAAGTCTCTTATGGTTCCAAATGAATTTTTTTATTATTTTTTCTACTTCTGTGAAATATAGTGTTGGAATTTCAATTGGCATTGCATTGAATCTGTATAGCAGTTTTGGTAGTATGGCTATTTTCACTATGTTAATTCTTCCTACCCAGGAGCACGGGATATCTTTCCATTTTCTTAGATCCTCTTCAATCTCTTTTTTTCAGAGTGCTGTAGTTTTCAGTGTAGAGGTCTTTTGCTTCTCTTGTTAGAGTGATTCCTAGAGTCTTCTTCTTTTTTTTGGGGGGGATGCTATTTTGAAAGGAATTGTTTCCCTAATTTCTCTCTCAGTGAGTCTGTTATTTGTGTACAAGAAGGTTATTGATTTTGGGGTGTTCACCTTGTATCCAGCTACTCTACTGAATCTGTTGATTAAGTCTAGAAGTCTTTTAGAGTTTTTTGGGTCTTCAATGAAGAGTATCATATCATCAGCAAATAATGATAGTTTAACTTCTTCCTTTCCTATCTTTATTGCTTTAATTTCCTTCTCTTGTCTAATTGCTGTGGCTAATGTTTCCAGAACTATATCAAAGAGGGGTGGTGATAGTGGGCATCCTTGTCCTGTTCCTGATTTTAATGTGAAATTTTTTAGTTTTTGGCCATTTAATATGATGTTTGCTGTTGGTTTTTCATAGACAGCCTTTATTAACTTGAGATTATTATCTAGAATATATAAGAACTCAAAACAATCATCCCCCCAAATATAAAGACCCAATTCAAAAGTGGGCATCAGAAATAAACGGATATTTCTCAGACAAACAAGGAAAAGCAACAAGTAAATATATAAAAAAATGTTCCATCCACAGCACTGGTCATTCGAGAGATGCAGATGAAAACAACACTGAGATTCCTCCTCACCCCACAAAGAATGGCTGCTATCAAGAAATCACACAATAACAAATGTTGGCATGGTTGTGGGGAGAAAGGAAACCTCCATTGTTGGTGGGAGCACAGACTGGTACAACCACTGTGGAAATCAATATGGAGATACCTCAAAGAGCTTGGACTGGAGGTTCCATTTGACCCAGCCATCCCTCTTCTGGGTATCTTTCCAAAAGAATTAAAAGAATCATATCACAAAGATATATTTGCACCTATGTTTACAGCAGCACAGTTTGTAATAGCTAAAAGTTGGAAACAGCCCATTTGCCAACCAGTTGGAAACTGGATAAAGAAGATGTGGTTTCTCTATAAAATGGAATACTACTCAGCCATAAAGAATGAGAAATTAGAGTCATTCATAGGAAAATGGATACATATTGAAGATACACTCCTAAGTGAAATAAATAAGTCACACATGTATAAATACCGAATAGTTTCTCTGGTGTGAAAAACTATAATAGTACATAAGATCCTAATGAGATAATTGACAATGTGAAATAGGAAAAAAGGGGCTAAAGGTGTAGAAAAAGTGGGAAGGGTAGGGGAAAGGTAATAAGGGAAAAGAAAAATATATGAGAAAATGAAAAAATGGGAATAAAGTGTTTGTAAATAGAGAGGGGAGGAGGGGGTGAAGGGAGGGCAGGGACAAGGGGAAAAAATGAGAACCAAGATCTGTCATGAAAAGGTACAATATCCCAACGATGAATGTAACTGTACTGTATACCTAAAATGTACCAATAAACTCAATTTTTAAAAAAGGATAAAAACTATGTGAAGCAGATGCTTTTAAAAACAAGAGTTTTATCTGTTTTATCTGTTTCAAACTATGGCTCATTTCACCAATTTTGAGCTATTGAACCTGACTGCAGGAAACAATAGAACTGATTCAATAAATGCTTTCTGTCATCCACAAGGTTCAACACACACACGCGTGTGTGTACACACATACACACAGTAGGTGCTCTGAACATGCTTCTGACCTTAAATATGATTATTTAAATTTCTCCTTCTGGTCTTTACATATTACCCCTCCTAGAAAAATATTTTTCTTTTTAATTATCCTACTCACTCCAAGTATACCACAAATTTCCCAGCAGTTATGGAGAGATGAACCATTGTAATTGCATAAGGATAGGAACTACAACTGACCATTACCACTTCTGTGTTCTCAGGGTGCAGAAGAATATCTAGCTTACAGTAGATGCTGAAAAAAAAACAGCAAACAAAAGATACATAGGTACATAGAGTCCAGTTGCTATCAGAGGAAAACAGTAAGATGAAGACAAGAGTGGAAACATTATTCTTATTTTTTTATGTCATACTTTTTACTTTTAAATTTCCTGGATTCATCTCTCCACCATTTTTTTGCTGTTGTCCTTCCTCTCCTTCCCCATGGCATGCCAAAACTGATAAATTGGTAGGCTATAAAAGATGAGGGAAATGTGTTTACCATCATCAGATAAAATAGGTAAACAAAATAAATACAATATAACAGTGTTGGAATGATTATATGGCCTTCAGTTTTATGAAGGTTGATCCTATCTTCACTCTAAGCTACTTCAAATTGCAGTCCATCAACATGTCTAACATAATTTCGCTGAAGTTAAACAAACATATCACTGGCCAGAGATTTAGCTCAGTGGTTCCA